TGCTGATTCAATATGGTTTAAGTGGTAATCAGTAGATCTCTCACACGAGTTGATATAAGATATTAATTCAAATGTCTTTTCAACACAAACTCTTTAACAAGAGATTCGAGGAAACAATTAATATTATTATATTATAACAACAAATAGTCAAATAGTTGGCTAATTATTTCGATAAACATTGGCTGATATCCAGTCGGAAGAACTGCTCACTCGATGATAAATACCCGGTTGGTATTGTTTGGCACATGAATAACCAGCCGACACTATACCCACGAGATACCAGACACCAAAATCATTCAACATTAACGGGCCTCCGGAGTCTCCCTGTTCACAATGATATCACATATTAAATGTTTATTGCCCATTCAGTATAATTAACCAATTTTGCTCATTATTTTGATAAATAACTAATATCTTAATATACTCCCGGAGTCCCTAATATACCTAAAAATACCTAAAAATACCTAAAAAATACCTAAATCAATACCTGACACGCATCGCGTCCACCTTGGTCATAGCCCGCACACGTCATTTCATCGTAAATTCTAATATTGATCCCTCTTTGCCGATGCCATCCCTCGCATATCTCATTCTCGATGATGGGCACCGGTACGTGTTGTAGCACTTTTGGCCTCAACTTTGAACCTTCAAAACAATTTTTATCAATTAATAAATCAATATAACAAATTCTTTAAGTAAAACGTGTTAAGTAATACACTGAATCGCTAAATGATGTTAACTGTGTAAATATTGAAATATATTCCTATACATAGTTTTCAAAATGATTAGAGTAAATAAATAATTATAATAATAATTACATATAATTTAAGACTGTATAATTTATAAGTTTAGTAAAATGTTCAGAGATGATTAACTAATTAATGGCACCGTTATAGTGATAGTATGGCTTTGTAACTGCATATTCTGTAATTTATTCTGTTATAATGTATTTCTCAATTATAATAATAATAAAGTTATAACCATTATTTATAATTCAGTTATAATAACAGTTTTAATATAATACATAATTTATATCACATAAATACTAATAATTAATTAGACTTCATTATGCTTGTAAAAATAAAAGCTATATGATATAAACTATACTGTATTAGTTATTATAATATTCTTCAAAGTATTACTGAAAATATTAAAAACAGTTTTAAATACAAAAATATAATAAAATTTGTGATAACATTTTGTAAATAAATTCATGTAATTATTATCATCTTTTTGATTATTATTATTAATATATTCAAGATTTCTATTTAATCTTAGATATGAATAAACAAATAGACAATCAAACGAATAAACACCAAAATGTGTCTTGGTGAAATGTACTCTTAAATGTTTCACTTTCAATATGTAATAAAATGAACACTCGGTCGACTCGGTCATACCTGCCTGGAGGGCCCCCCAACCGGCCACATACGCCATTCTACCTACAAAGCCAACATCTTTTTGTGGCAAACAAATAGGTCTGATGTTGTCCTTGTAATGGACGGGTCGGTCGAGCACAAGGACGGCAACATCATAACGATCTGCTTGTGGAGTGAATCGGAAGTTTGGGTGAAGTCTCACTTCTTGAACAGTGAACACCTCGTGAGGTAAGCTTTCAATCTCAGAGTGAAGGATATAGTCTCCGAGAGTGACACGAATGCTGGTTGGGTTGTGCTGTGATCTGGCATTTCATGAGATTTATAATCATTCACACATTGTGTTCAGTATAAGACAATGGGATGTGAGCGCATACCTGGCCACGCAATGCCCTGCAGTCACCACATGCGCCGGTCCAACAAGTGCTCCGCCACATCGACTGCCCCCGACCTGGACAAAGGCCTGTCAATTGCAAAACAGGGCTTACAATAAGTGATCTATAATGAGGTGAAAGGCGAGTGTGAGGCCATACCTGCCACGGGAACTGTCCGAATGAGGCATCGTTTCCTCCAACGATTCGACTGATTCTCGCGGCACTCTTCCCACAGTCTTAGACATAGACAACAAAGAAAAGAAAAACCAATGAAACAAATGCTGGCAAATGATGGGGTGAGGTATACGTGGGTCGTTGACGACTGGTCCCCAATACTGAGGCTGAATGTCTTGACTACTGGGAGTAACACAACATGTATGAAGTGGACCACACGAAGCCCCCAACGAGCCGCCCGAAACCCAACAGAGGGCGAAAAACTGGCATTTGGTGCCCCCGACACAGCCCTGGTTGAAGCGACTGCCAATGCGCACGGGGGGCAACAGGCGAACCACATTCCCGAGCGCTCGCGTCACAAAACCCGCCGAAGCTTTTNCAAGCAGATCGTTATGATGTTGCCGTCCTTGTGCTCGACCGACCCGTCCATTACAAGGACAACATCAGACCTATTTGTTTGCCACAAAAAGATGTTGGCTTTGTAGGTAGAATGGCGTATGTGGCCGGTTGGGGGGCCCTCCAGGCAGGTATGACCGAGTCGACCGAGTGTTCATTTTATTACATATTGAAAGTGAAACATTTAAGAGTACATTTCACCAAGACACATTTTGGTGTTTATTCGTTTGATTGTCTATTTGTTTATTCATATCTAAGATTAAATAGAAATCTTGAATATATTAATAATAATAATCAAAAAGATGATAATAATTACATGAATTTATTTACAAAATGTTATCACAAATTTTATTATATTTTTGTATTTAAAACTGTTTTTAATATTTTCAGTAATACTTTGAAGAATATTATAATAACTAATACAGTATAGTTTATATCATATAGCTTTTATTTTTACAAGCATAATGAAGTCTAATTAATTATTAGTATTTATGTGATATAAATTATGTATTATATTAAAACTGTTATTATAACTGAATTATAAATAATGGTTATAACTTTATTATTATTATAATTGAGAAATACATTATAACAGAATAAATTACAGAATATGCAGTTACAAAGCCATACTATCACTATAACGGTGCCATTAATTAGTTAATCATCTCTGAACATTTTACTAAACTTATAAATTATACAGTCTTAAATTATATGTAATTATTATTATAATTATTTATTTACTCTAATCATTTTGAAAACTATGTATAGGAATATATTTCAATATTTACACAGTTAACATCATTTAGCGATTCAGTGTATTACTTAACACGTTTTACTTAAAGAATTTGTTATATTGATTTATTAATTGATAAAAATTGTTTTGAAGGTTCAAAGTTGAGGCCAAAAGTGCTACAACACGTACCGGTGCCCATCATCGAGAATGAGATATGCGAGGGATGGCATCGGCAAAGAGGGATCAATATTAGAATTTACGATGAAATGACGTGTGCGGGCTATGACCAAGGTGGTCGCGATGCGTGTCAGGTATTGATTTAGGTATTTTTTAGGTATTTTTAGGTATTTTTAGGTATATTAGGGACTATATTAAGATATTAAGATATTAGTTATTTATCAAAATAATGAGCAAAATTGGTTAATTATATTGAATGGGCTATATAAACATTTAATATGTGATATCATTGTGAACAGGGAGACTCCGGAGGCCCGTTAATGTTGAATGATTTTGGTGTCTGGTATCTCGTGGGTATAGTGTCGGCTGGTTATTCATGTGCCAAACAATACCAACCGGGTATTTATCATCGAGTGAGCAGTTCTTCCGACTGGATATCAGCCAATGTTTATCGAAATAATTAGCCAACTATTTGACTATTTGTTGTTATAATATAATAATATTAATTGTTTCCTCGAATCTCTTGTTAAAGAGTTTGTGTTGAAAAGACATTTGAATTAATATCTTATATCAACTCGTGTGAGAGATCTACTGATTACCACTTAAACCATATTGAATCAGCATTTTATTTAATAAATCTCAATTGACTTGTGATACGACTGAACCAACAGTGCCTTTGAAACGCCGAGACATGAAGTCTTGAACAATCTTCTGACAAATAATTTATGTCTCAATGTATATATTAATGACTCCAATAATAATTGGGTTATTCATTGTATATAAACGGAAATAAATCAAAATTCTCTCAATTCACACTTATTTTTTGAATTATAATTTCAATTTTGAAATCTTATTTCGGACTATTAGTTGTTTATTTTTGAACGCACTTTAAGTCTATGTTTTTTTTAAATTAATGTTAAATTAATTTTCGTTTTTATTAGACTTTTTACAATTTATTTGTTTATTATTTATTAACATCGACTCAATAGAGCCATACAATTGTAATCTAATAGCAATTAATTTAATTAAAATCATTGCATTAATTGAATAATAAATTAATGAAAATTATTTTGTTGACTTATTTTGTCTACAGACAGAACTTATTTTTGATTCATTATATACACAGGTACAAGTACTTGTGTATTTTAAAAATAATTATTAAATAATCATCATGAATATCATTTTATCTGTTCTAGTCTATATAAAATATTTATATACTTATTTTACACTTATCTAGAATCTAGAATTAGGGAATACTAATATATTTGGAAACATATAATAATATTCAGTTTAAAGTCTTCCGGAATAAATATATGACTTTTATTATTATCATAAATTATAGTTTAGTATTTTTAAATATTATTAAATAATTAAAATCATTATTTAATAAAATCAATGTAATATTTATTGCAATACAACTATTTGTGACCAGGTTCTGCCAAATATCAATTAATAATTTTAATAATTTTTTAAGGAGATGTTTGTTTTCTTACAGAACTTTGTATATTTCAATTAAATACAGTAGCTTGTTAAAACTGTTATTTAAATTATTGAATTAGTATAAACTAGTGCTTCAATAGTGTTAAATAATATTTAAAATAATATAAAAGGTTTTCTACAATTTATTAATTACCATTAAACATTAACTTAAATTTTAGTAAAATAAACTATTCTCTTCAAAATTTATATTACTAGTAGTGTATATACTGTATAAATATGACAATATATGGAATTTTATTTTATTTTAAATATAAATTTACTAATTTTATTATATATAATTTTTTAAAAAATATTCTGAATTTTATTATTTTTAATATTATCAATAAATTGTAGGAATTCATACATAATATTGTAGTATACTGTATAATATTATGTGGATTGTGGACAAAATATATTTTAATGAGTTCAGAATCCAAGCACTGGCGCTGTGTTCAGTAAAATGTTTGCATGAATTGCAAACTGGAGTCCAATGAGTGGTGCCGTCAAACGAGTTCAACAATTCTTGATTTGAAGAACTAAACGATCATAACTGCAACCATTAAATGCTATATTCAAGCAAAATAGAGAAACACGCGATTAAACGATAGTTGCTCTCAGACTATAACCCCGACAATTAGGGTTAGTGTATTAGTATTTACAATATTCCTAACAAAATTTCACCAAATCTACCCCCAGAGCTACCATACCATTGGAGCCACTATTTTCCAAAAATTACTTATGCATAGGGATGGGTGAATGTCTAGTAAATTGGAAAATAAAAATAAAAGCCAGTGCATTAATATCAATAAAATTGTTAATTATTTTTCATTAAAATGCATTAAATGGTTAGGAGGAGAGGTTGTAGGGGTTGTGAGGTTAACATTATGTTAAGAAACAGAGTTAACAGATAGCTATTTGACCACATTATTGATGATCATAATAATTGCACAGATCATACACTAACCCACAAATCTTATCCTCAGACCGTATATTAAACTTCTAATGATTTTTGTCAAATTGTATTAAAAGTTGAGGAGAAAGTGAAAGTAATAAAAACAAGAAATAAAATTCTGGATTAATACAAGAGATAAACGTAGAGATAAGTTGTGTGTTAGGGTAAGACCTCACCAGATATCATACACTTTTGACTCTACGGTTAATAAAAAGCATTTAAACTGCTATACAGACTGAGTAGTGATGGGAGGGTATGCGACAAAATTATAAACTCTGCCCTACATTGTCAGCGTTGATTGAAATTGAAGATATTACGGGGGGTAACAAACACCTGAAGGGGTTTTTAATGGATGAGTACTTATTTCTTAAAAGAAATTTAAAAAGTATTTTAAAAAGAAACGCTTTGTTTATGATTATTGCAAAATCGCAAACTTTATTATTTAATATTTTATTGTAATTAGCAAATGAATTAAAAAATTTGTGTAAATTTTAAAATCATAAAAAAGATTTGTTTAAATGAAATGACGAAATCAAAAGCAAAAGTTTTCGCAATACTGTTATGAATGAGTTTCTGAAACAAAGTGAAGGGATAATCCGGTAAAACAATGAATGTTATTGTTTTAATAGTACAAAACGATTAAGATTTACAAACAATACTAATAATGATATGAATAATTTTTTCTATAATTTTCCTGATCATAATAGTGCTACCAGTGCGCCGAGTCTCTGGTATAGTCTACTCTACGGTAAGGCTTGTATACACTACTAGTGCAATGTGTGAGCGCCCGAGGCATTGGGTCGGTTACCTATTCGCTATTCCACTGCCTTTCCATTAAGGCCTGTCTTTGCAGTATGTCTTCAAGTCTTCAATTCTTTGCTGAGACTTCTCTCCACTTCTACGCCATTAGTATAGTGTGTCTCAAACCACTCAAAAGTTTGTGGCGCTAAACAAACCTCTGTTTCATTCACTTTTGGTCAATAGCTCAACAAATGATCGATTCGTATGAATAAACTTTGAAAAAGTTTGAGTTGAGGTCGCGTTTAGCACTTGAGACGAATATTTGTGTTTTATTTATTTATTAATATATTTAGTTTTGCTTTTTTGTTCGCTTAATGGTATTTAATTTGTTTGGAAACTCGTTAAATATCGTAATTAATGTGGTTATGAATCTTTTATGAAATTATATTTATTTCACAAACTAAAAGTAAGTCTCATTTTGCTTACATTTCTATTTCAGGAAATAAATGAAAACTTATTTAAACATTAATTGTGCAAAAATAATAGAATTTAATTACGTTTAATTATTATATAAAATTATATTCACTCAAAACCTACTCAAACTCTACATCTCTTTAAGATCTTATTTTAATTTTAATTTCTTTTTATGATTTCATTCTTTCCATTCATTTCTCTGATTATAACTCAAACTTTCTATTATTTTCCTAAATATTGTTCTATTGTTTGTATAAATATATGAAAGGAAACAATTCATAAAAAAATGTTTAAAACATAGTTTTTCATTTGAAATTATTATATAAGATTTTAGTTTCATAGAAATGTTATTGGCTTTCAGTAAGTTTTGTTTGCAAAATAAACATATTTTCATATCTCATTTAATGTCAAATAAGTTT